CAAGGTTGTTTTCTATGTTGATTTTTAACAGTCAAAAGTGGTAGTTGGAGATTATTCCGATGAAGACAATTACATAGAGAATCCCAATAGGAACTCTGGTTATTCTCCCGACGACTCCCGACCACTCTTACCAAACAGATGACAAATTCAGGGAAGACAGGTAAAGACATGTATTAGTTTTCATGACTTTCTGATCCTTTGTGCATTGCTTATATTATGTTATGTGAAACTGTTTTTGGTCTCTTTAGAGTTTTCAAGAAAATCCAAATCAATAAGAAATGTGGACTCTGCTTCTTGTTCTGTGGCAAGAAATAATAGGAAATGTAAAGACATTTGACTTAAATTTCATCACTTAGACCATCTACATTGGAGACCAAATGTGGATGTCTCTAAATAAAAAAATATTAAAAACACACTCTCTTTTCTTTTTACTCAACTTTATACCTTCTCTTTCATCTTTTTACTCAACTTTTATTAATTTTATATTTAAACACACTCCAATTTTCATCTATTCTCTCTCCAACTTTGTCTTCCCCGAGACATCCTCTCTCCAATAATACCCACTATCTCATCTCTTTACTCAAATTTTATTAATTTTATATTTCAATACACCCCATTATTTCAACCAAAAACACCGTCTTTCTTTTTTTTACTTAACTTTTAATAATTTTATATTTAAAGACATATACAAAATGTCTCCAATGCTGATGCTCTTATATTAGATCATTAATCTTTGTGTGATCTTCTAATACGAAGGAGTTTGTGTCTTGAGTTTTTCAGTGGAAAAACTAATTTAGTTGGAAGTTTTTTTTTGGTAATTTCTCTTATATATTATAGAGTAAAGTTTTCTCGTGACTTGAGAAAAAAAAGAAAAGAAGACGACTTTGAATATGCACTTATATAGGAAATGTAATTATGGTCTACTGGTACTTTGTTTTTTTTTTAGAATGACCTTTGGTTTAATGTTATAATTGTTTTATGCTAATTTTCCAATATCTTAATTTCATTAACTCTTTTTGTTTACTGTTATAATTGTTTTATGCTAATTTTCAAATTCATTAACTGGTAAAAATATGTGTTTATATTTGTTATAACCGATAAAAAACATTAAACATAATCATGACAAATGTAAATATAGGTAATAAAGTACAACTAAAATTTAAAAGAAAATTGTATACTTGAACAATAGAATCATAAAACAATACATCATTTTTATAACTATCAAAGTGTGGTAAGTTACCTGGTTAACTTTTAAACTTGAAGAGTGTACCTTATTATTTGCCTGGTTTCAGTAATGGGCTTTTTACTCAAGGTACCTTAAGCCCAAACTATTAATGGACCGTTTTATAATTGTGCTAATGTCAGAAAATTCGACGGTCTTTTAAGCGTTGAACATGACAAGGGATTCGATAATCGTCTCTCTCTCTTCCTCGTTGTTCTCTGAATTAGAGATTCTACAGAAAATTAACAGCTAAAAATCACAATAACTGGACCATCTTTCTACCCACCGTCACTATATCCTCGCTTCCTTCTCAATCTTATCATCCTCTGATCTCTCGGATCTACCTCAGATCTGTGCCTAACAATCCGCTATCTCCGAGCTTCCGTCTAGGTTTTTCTGAGAAGAAGCAAACGGTCAAGGAACGGTAACGATGGCTGCGAAGACGGCCAGATCAAAAGCCACACCGACGAAAGAAAACGGTGTCAGAGTCGAGGAAGGACTGAGTCTCTTCAAGTCTGATAAGTTCGATGCTGATGCTTATGTGCAATCCAAATGTTCTATCAACGAGAAGGTTCGTATATTTTCTTCCTTTAATTAGATCACTAGTGAGGATTTTTAGGTCTGAATCTGTGAGGACTTTTTCGAAGATTTCTGGATTGTGTCGCAATATTCTTTTCTGGTTGCAGGAAATTGTAATAGTAAAATGGATATTAGGTAGGAGATTGATTGAGCTCGACAAGATGATGTAAGGATTGTATGGATGCACTTTTGATTGTGTAAAGGTTCAATGCTCTTAGAAATGCTGATTGGTGTAGTACCCATTTTATAAGCTTTAAGCTTGTCAAATGATGATCACTGTTGTACAGAATGTAACTCATGTGGATATATGTATGATAATGACTCGTATTTGAGGCAGAATCTGTTGTGCTCGTTTACTGTTTTATAAAAGATATATTTTGATCACAGTATTGTGCATAAAGAGTCTCTCGTCTTTTTAGCTCCCATTGTGTGGTGTTGTGATAGATCTGAGAGAAATGAAGGCTTGTGAGGCCTTGTTTAGTTTACTACAGAAAGAGTAGAATTCGATTTGGTTAACATAAACTTTTAGATTACTTAGGTGGAACCTTATTTTTGTTTTGTTTTCCGGTTATGTTGGGCTTATGACATATTTCTCTTCTGTTCACAGGATATAAAGCAGTTATGCTCTTATCTATTGGATTTGAAGAGAGCTTCTGCTGAGGAAATGCGGCGAAGTGTTTATGCTAATTATCCAGCTTTTATACGGTTAGTTGATATTTTGACTGTTCTTAGTGGTTGGTTGGTTAACACCTAATGATTTCTCTTTAAATTTGATGTGATCGAAGAGCTCTACGTTTCAAATTTCATTTCTTACGGGTTTTGGTTCATGTGCATTGTTGCACATGACTTCTTTGTCCTGAAAATACCTGATTGTTTATTCTTAGTGGTGTGTTAATTTGAGCATTGAAAAGTCTTCTTTTCTGTGCAGCACATCAAAAGAGATATCGGATTTGGAGGGGGAGTTATCATCTATTAGAAATCTTCTCTCCACTCAGGCCACTTTAATTCATGGTTTAGCAAATGGAGTTAACATTGACGATGATAAAGTTCCTGATGAATCTCTCACAAATGGTTTGTTGAATTTTGAAGACAGTGACCTCTCTGATCTGGAGAAATGGGCTACAGAGTATCCTGACCACCTTGATGCTTTATTAGCTGAAAGAAGGGTAGATGAAGCTCTGTCAGCTTTTGACGAGGGAGAAATTTTAATATCTCAAGCAAACGAAAAGCAAACTTTAAGCTCTTCTGTACTTTCATCTCTTCAGTTTGCTATTGCCGAACGCAAGCAAAAATTGGCTGATCAACTTGCCAAAGCTGCTTGTCAACCTTCAACTCGAGGTGGGGAACTCCGGTCAGCGATATCAGCTCTCAAAAGGCTTGGCGATGGTCCTCGATCCCATACTGTGCTTCTTGATGCCCATTTCCAGAGATATCAATATAACATGCAAAGTCTTCGTCCATCTAGCACCTCATTTGGAGGGGCGTACACTGCCGCACTTTCTCAGCTTGTGTTCTCAGCTATATCTCAAGCTTCTAGTGACTCATTGGCAATCTTTGGGAAAGAGCCAGCGTATAGTTCTGAGCTTGTGACTTGGGCTACTAAGCAAACAGAGGCGTTCTCTCTTCTTGTTAAAAGGCATGCATTAGCTTCTTCTGCAGCAGCAGGAGGACTAAGAGCCGCTGCAGAGTGTGCACAGATAGCTCTTGGGCATTGTTCTTTGTTGGAAGCTCGTGGTTTGTCCCTCTGCCCAGTGCTTTTAAAGCACTTTAAGCCTATCGTGGAACAGGCATTGGAGGCAAATCTTAAGCGAATTGAAGAAAACACTGCAGCTATGGCTGCTGCAGATGATTGGATTCTGACATATCCTCCTGCTGGTAGTCGTCATGCTAGTACAGCATTTCAGAATAAGCTTACATCCAGTGCCCACCGCTTTAATCTGATGGTCCAGGTAGGCAATCTTGGTGAAACGCTTTATTCAGAAATTTTCAGCCTTTGCTTAAAAATTCTGCTAGACCAAATAAAGTTCTTAAGACATGCAGACATGCTAGGAAGTTGGTTTTTCTTCACTCTTAGACGTCATGTTTGTCACTCTTAGATATGCCGGTATCCTATGAAAATTGCTTATAATATGAGTTTGCACAGTAGCTACAAAATTGACTAGCCATTGTGGATGATGATCGATTAGAACTTGCACTAGAGTACGGCAAGGCCTTAAACTGATGACAAACTGCACGTGTATCTCCATTAAGAAGTTAGTCATAAACTCTGATGTGGTACTGTTTCTGTCTTAGCTGCTCTTATAGACAAAGCACTGCATAGTAAAATCTCATGAATTTTGCAGATATTTGTCAAGTAGATCCTTCTGAAAATGGTTTTTTTGTTGCAGGACTTCTTTGAGGACGTTGGACCTCTTCTAAGTATGCAGTTGGGAAGTAAAGCGCTGGAAGGGCTGTTTCGAGTGTTCAACTCATATGTTGATGTGCTGGTAAGAGCACTTCCTGGTTCGATAGAAGAAGAAGAGGCAAATTTTGAAGGTTTTGGTAATAAGATTGTCCAAATGGCTGAGACTGAGGCACACCAACTTGCATTACTTGCAAATGCATCATTGCTAGCGGATGAATTACTCCCACGTGCTGCCATGAAACTTGCTCCTCTTGATCAGACTAGTTACAGGACGGACGACCTAAGGAGACCTTTGGACAGACAAAATCGTAATCCTGAACAACGAGAATGGAAGAGGCGTTTACTTAGTACTGTTGACAAGTTAAAAGATGCATTTTGTCGCCAGCATGCCTTGGATCTTATTTTTACCGAGGAAGGAGATAGCCATCTGTCTGCGGATATGTACATAAACATTGATGGAAATGGCGATGATGTGGACTGTTTTCCATCTCTTATATTCCAGGTAGTTGTGGTTTCATCTCCATCAGTCCAGTTAGCCTTTATTAAGTACTGTTGAACGCCCAGGTTTTGTAGTCACTTGGGAACTCTTATTGGCTGATTCAATGTTGTCTAGTTTTTTTTTCTTTTCCTTTTTAATGTAATAGTCTTATACTTTGGTTGTTGCGTCGTTGGAAAACAGGAACTTTTCGCCAAACTTAACCGGATGGCAGGTCTAGCAGCAGATATGTTTGTAGGAAGAGAAAGATTTGCGACATCTTTGTTGATGCGTTTAACAGAGACTGTGATCCTATGGCTTTCTGGAGACCAAAGCTTTTGGGACGACATTGAGGAAGGTCCCAGACCTTTGGGACCTCTTGGCCTACGGCAGGTTTGTAAACTCGTTCTAGCTTCTTTTGTCTTAAGTACATTTTGCAAGCATCGAAACTGTTATTGACAAGCTGGATCTGTTACAGCTGTATTTGGACATGAAGTTTGTCATATGCTTTGCATCCCAAGGTCGCTACCTATCAAGGAATTTGCACAGGGGCACTAATGAGATAATATCGAAAGCCTTAGCAGCTTTCACTGCAACAGGGATGGATCCGTATAGGTATGTCAGTTTTGGGGGGC